TGTCTGTCTGTCTGTCTGTCTGTCTGTCTGTCTGTCTGTCTGTCTGTCTGTCTGTTTGTCTGTCTGTCAAATATCTCGAAAATCAGGCTCAAGTATGTTGTTACTGCGAAAAGCTTAGGAAAAAGGTATCAGTTTAATCATTTGCTAAGGAAACAAGTAGGGATATTATAAAATTTTGGATCTAACATACTGTCCAAAAGACAAGTAGAGATAGGTTTAATGTTATTGCAATTGAATAAGTTTACGCCCCTGTTGACACAATTTATATCGTTTAGCAAGCAGACTGCTTTGGCCCTTCCTATCAGGCCCAACCTGAACTGAGGGGGATATAAAGTCCAAGCAGGCAAACGAGATACTCGATTAAAGAAAAGACTCTTAATACCAGTTCGTGATTCGAACTGACATCTTCTGCGTGCGATGGTGAAACGGCAAACTACTACCCTCAGACGCTTGTGAGATAGTTTGGGATGGAATTAACTGCCCAAGAAACGAATAGCGAAAAAGCCAATAATTTTGAAATGAAAGTTGGAAGAATTAAATTAATGTTTTTCCATCTGGTATTGCAGTGGTCAGTCTTGTACATCCTCCCAAAGACAGTAAACAAAAATCGACGTCAGTAGTGTAGCGGTCAGAAATTTTTGCTGTTTCATGCAGGAGACCAGAGTTCGATTCCAGAGTTTAAAGAATTTTTTAATCGAATGACTCAGTCTTTCTGCTTGGATGTGGTATCCCTCTCAATCCAGGTTGGCCTTTACGGACAGGGTCGGAAGCCCACCTCCTTAAAGGTCTAAATTGTGTCGAAGAGGGCGTAAAAACACCTATATTTAAAAAAATGAACAGAAATATTTACCCAAAGGATCTACGTTACACAATCAAGTTGTCAGTCCTTGAACCCATGATAATGTTACATCGCGATGGAACAGACTGATATCGCCTCTATACGCAAACGACTTTTTGACTATACTACAGTAAACTGGGGTGACTATGTCAACTTTTCTGGCAGCCTTCTTCGTTAACTTTTTTAAAACAACATAAGCGTGTACACCTTTTAGGATAAATTCACAGCGAAGGATGGTATACACTGAGTGGATGATCTTATTGTACAATTTTTTAATGTTTTGGTAATCATGGGGCAATTTAAATGATGCCCAAAGCCACCTCGCTTAGTGGTGATCGTGGTCGTAATTATTATCATTGTAAAATAAGGTAAACGTTGTATTATGGTGAGATTGGCTACTAAAATTGCTATAAGTGGTCCTTTTATGGCTATTTGAAGTTCCAGTGTATGATGATTCAGCTGATGTTATGGTCTGTTGTTTATTAATAACATAATAACACTGCATGCTAAATCTACAAGTGAACAGAATGTTTTTATATATACGACGTATATTTTCACAGATAAAAGAATTTTATTCAAACTTCTTTCCAAAACAAAACAAAACGTTCAAAGAAAGGCCGGGGAGGTCAGCTAACATAACAAAATGCATTGCATGGTCAATTTCAGGTAGAAAATTGATACAGAAGTCGAAGCTTTCAAACGAAACAATAACTGAAGTTTCCAGATGCTGTTACAACTGAGTTTCAAACATTATTTCTGACATCGTGATTTTCTACAGAGTTTGTGTTATTACTATCAGTGTCAGGTTCTAACGCAATTTCTAGTTTTCCGGATGCCCTTCCTTCAGAGGGCTAGCAAAACCCATTGAAATAGACATGTTGACTTCCTGGACCTCTGCTTCATGTGTGATTTCCTTTGGTGTCTTTGGTAGCCGATTCAGGATTCAGGATGAGTCAAGCGAATTTATACCACATTTCCTGAAACTAGCGATAAGGTTTTAACTCTGATTTGGCAGCTCATCCAGAAGTCTTTTCAGCAGAGATGGAAACACGTCTTCTTTGAGATAGTGCTGCCTTTTTCCCGATTGTATTGTTTCCAAACAGTCAGAATGTTCTTTTTAAAATTTCTTCATGGGTCAGAAATATGCCACACCGAGAAGCTGGCACAGATGAGTAGCGTTTGGAGGATGGCAAATAAAATATGCAAATTTATTTCGCTCTCACACGTGAGGATCTCGTTGCTAAAATGGGATGACAAATTGTTCACAATTAGCACCTTATACCCATTCAGTCCTCTGCTTGCGGTAGGGCACAGCCACTGGTCAAAACCACTCCACAAAGCAGACATGACCAAGCAATCCTGACTCAGAACATTTATAAATACCGAGTCTATGGTGGCTTCCCACGTCTCCATGTGTCCCACATGTTTTCAGATTTGTACACTACGTCAAGTGGCAGCATTTTTCATGATGTTGTCTCGGCTAATAATCTATGAGGCTGGTTGAAAATTCAGTAGTATTTAAAATTCTTTAGGGATAGCGTACATTTCTTTTGAAGATGTTCTTTCTTGATTGTCTATCAGATTAGTTTCGTTCTAAATGTGAATGTTTTCAGGTGGCTATAATTATTATAATATTATTATTATTATTACTATTATTATCATCAGTAGTAGTTTTAGTAGTAGTAGTAGTAGTAGTAGTAGTAGTAGTAGTAGTAGTAGTAGTAGTAGTAC